TATCCAAAAAAGGCAGTTCCAAAGCTCACATTGGTTCCTCGAATGGAAGACAACTTTGATGTTGAGGAACACGACTACAGTGGGTCGTCAAGATGAGCGGCAGTGCTCCAATAACGGGCGCAAAGTGAGGTAATCAATACAGCATCGAGTTCGATGTAACTTGACCTGTTGTTCAAGAATCCGACTTTCAGAGGCACCAGTCGTTTGATGAAGAACCACCGAGACCACTGCATATTGTATGACTGTCACATTGCAAATGAATGCCACTCTAGAAGCATAGGACGATATTGAAACGGCTGCAGTCGGTAGGGGCAGTATCCTGTCCTTACAATTGCACTAATCTATTGCGTGACTCCGTCCAACAAGTTAGTCCACGACTAGAAAATTTTATTTGGTCCCGCAGCTCTATTTTACTTTAGCAGTCTAGTACCACGTACGAATTTATTCCCGGAGGGCAGATCCAAACGGACGAATATGGGACGGGGCGATCAGTGACCGGTGATAAAACGTTAACACTGTGTGATTAAATTTTCTTTTTAAATGCTCACCTCAAACTTCTAAGTGGTTCGCTCATTGGTGGATAACTTGCCCGATCTCCTCTCTTTTATTCTCGACAGGTTTCATGCTAATCATATGCTGTCTCAGCCGGAATAACTTCCAAAATTGACCAACATTATCAACTGTTGATACTTCCGAAGCATGGTAACACCACTAGGCTTCGCAGTTCATATGTAGGCTAGCACGTAGTTTTACCCTGAGATCTGTGCCATTCTCATTGATTTTCCTCCCAACCACATACAAAATTTACAGAGATGGATAGAGAACTTGTGCCCAGATTGGCAATCAGATGTACCACATGAAGTAATCCCCGCTGCTCAGTAGGCGGATATCTGCGCTCACAGCATCGTCTCGGAAGCAGCCCAAAACGCACTGGCATGTCGGCTCATATTAGTGCGTGGCTGGATGCGCACTTTTCCTTCAAAACTTGAGGTAGTTTTGGACGCGGCCTCTCTATCTGTAGCTGATCAGGATGTAATTAAGTTGCGTTCATAGCTGGTACGATGATGGTGGGCGCCATCTCATTCTCCGGGGAGTGCTATTCGGTACTCAGTGCTTGTGAGTGATAAATCAAAATATATACACAGTTGTAGTATTCGCTCACCGTAATCAGTACGGCGGCATACGCCGCACTGACTGTCTAGTAGGAGCTCAGCATTAAACGGTTTTCCGTCTTGGGTGTTCAGATCATCAGACAGCACCACACTATCCGTAATTCTTCTGATAAGAAAGAGCTAATTCAGTCAGCGCTAGAAGTTATCTTTACCCGAGTCACCAGTACAGTTTGTGGGAAGTAGGCCGTACTAAAACTAGTCATTACTTCGAAACTTTGGATGAACCAGACAAAATGACGACGTAAACACAGTTATTGGGATCCAATCGAACAGTGTAGTCTCAGCCCCGACTCCGAGGGCGAAATCCAAACTAGCTTGCACGATATTATAAGCGTTATCATCTCTGGATACACGCTATGAGAAATTGGTTCCAGTGTCACATAAAAGGGTTGTAGAGCTGGCAAACAGCGCGAGCATTGCAAGTTGATCTCCGGTGACCAGCAGATGTTGGTCGATTGGCTCTCTAACCCACGAGCAAATACCGTCTGTTGCACCATCGGTATCAGAGTGCGCGCGTTGTGGCATGTCAGCCTAAGGCGGAGGGGAGCGAGGGTTCTAAATAACGTCGGAAGAACTGAGGTTGTCCGCTTGGTTGCACATGGAGGTAGAGCCAAGAATTAAAGTACTGGAAACATGGTAGATAAAAATGAATTTGGAATGTGACGACAGGGATTAAAAAGCATGAGAGCGGGAGTGAAAAACCAGAAGGCCTGGACAGTAGCATCCCCACTCCTATTCCCTTTACTAGATGCAGCAGGGAGGGTGTGTTGATTATTGTCCACGGCGTCCAAAGCTCTAAATAATTTGTAGAAGAAATTTCATTGTATGGGGTGGGTAGAATACTGCGAGGTAGCGCATGCATGTACAGGAAAACGATCAACGCACTTAAGCATAGCTCTTGGCTCCAAAAACTAACCTCAAGGCAGCGTAACTTCGCTAGTGGGCCACAGAAATTCCGTTTTAGGGAGTAAGGAGCTATTGTCATCCCAAACCCTAATCTGGAGGGTCAAGAGACCGAATCTCTCTGGCTGCTGACCGTTGACTTATCTGGTACTTGTGGCTCTGGTATTGTACTAGGCCCCACTCAGCGCAGGTCAAGGGCTTGTTGAAACACGGAAATCTTGCACAACCTTATGGTCCGACCTCACTGTACCGGAATTAAAACATTCAGCTATCTTAAAACAATAGAGCAACTTAATGATACGCATTCACAGCTAGTTATTGTTCGAATCCGAACCAGCAACTATCGTTCTTTAAAAGCGTGACGTAGGCTACGGAACTGTATGGATAACACAACGACTTGACTGAAAAATTGGAAATTATAAAAACAAGAAACATAGTAAATAGCTTACAAACTTCGTGGGATCAGTCGTACGGATTACAGCGGACTACTTTCAGTGGAGTTTCAGCAATACGCATTACCTGTCGGTTGTTGTTCCACTCTGGTTTGTTGGATGCTTTGGTTGTTATATACCAGCAGTTACTTTTTGCACGGTGTATCTGACCAGTGTAAATGCTATTTCTTGAGGTTATCGAACTGTGTGCACAGATTTTAACTACTTGCAGTTAAAAATCCGCTTCACTTCGAGCTAAAGAGCTGGAACACCGGTTCCTCCTATTTGTACTCGTTAACAAAATTCCTCTTCTTTGGATCCGAACACTCAATCTTTCAACGGTAAAGTAACTTAAGCCACTGAGACATGAGTAGGGACAACTCAGTGAGTTGATTGACCGTCAAAAGCCAAAGCTCTCCATACAGCTGCTTGAAAGTTACAGACCTGTAAGGGACAGGTGTGAGACTCTTACTGTTTGTCTCTTGTTAGCCGTTGTTGCCTAAAAGTAAGTGTTGGCTTGATTACATTAATATGTAGTACGCATATACATGCATTTCTTTATTTGCTATCCTCTTGCTGTTTCAGTGGACCATTACATTGGCGCAGCTTTCACTTTTGCCGTCTTTTACAAACCACCATCGACGGCAACGTTGACCGACGGGGCTGGGAAGCCAGGGAACAAACAACCCGCATACTTACACACCACTTGGCGTCTATGCTTTGTAAGCAGTGGGGAAGTTTAGATAGCTTAATTTATTAACACAAGAGCCACTTGATGTAGACATCCCAACTTGTGCGCCGAGAACAGAACCCTTCCATTTAGTTCGGTGTACCAAATGTGTTCTGACCCTACATGTAAGGACCATAACGTCCATATCGGTATCCGAGACTTCTGTTGGTTTTTACGAGACTGTGAAGGCAAAACGACATCTGGTTGTACCTATTGCCCACCACAGTGTTCCCAACCTTCGTCCGTTTTCTGGTAGTGAGCTCATCATTTTCAGAACTGTCACTCTTCTAAGTGTACATCCTGAAAACTGTAACATATCTGTGATCAGTGTTTGCGTCGGAGCAGTATCAACTGCTTTGTACTTGCTACGGTGAAGGCTGTGTTAATGTCCTCGAAGATACACTGTCAGTGGAAAGTTCTTAACTTGTCATATGGTTGCATTTCATCATTCTACTGTTTGCAGTAATTTTACCCTGAACAGACAGATAGAGTCACAGTCCCCGCACAACCATCAAAGGAATGGTTCGGTATAAATGCAAAACGAGGTAAGCTCACAGCTAGAAACTAAATAAAGGGCACATGAAGAAAACGAATGAGGGTTGCCAACATGCCATTTTGGTTAACTACCAATGTGAGCTGTTGTCGAGACTACATCCCAAGTCACTTCGGCTTTTGCATTCATTTTCATTTCGTTGATCTAAGCAACACTATGCTTTCACTTTCAATACGTTCCCAGTTGCTTGTCAACTTTCACCATCAATACACTTACTGTATGAAAAACTGATTCCTGTCCAACTGGTGATTATCTGCAGTCATTTCATTTCAACTTTCCTTTTTAACAACCCGTAAAGCTAGTCTGTTTCGCATACACATCACGCTTAGTCATAGCTGGGTCAGGTTAAACAGCAAATCTTCTTTCTCTCTCCTGGTTATATTACTAGGCTTTGGTCAAGTGTACAGTTGTTCGCCTTCCAGTCAGCATGATGGTATTGGTGCAGTGAAATTTAGTGGTCCCTTAGCTGAAACCTGCTTTAAAAGCGATATGTTCGAAGACCAACCAGCGCACTTGGGTAACGAGAATCAGCCCTTTTAAATGCCTGCTTGCCACATGAGTCCGATCATTGCTCGAATATTTACGCAGCTTGGAGCTTGAAATCGATGTTGCTGCATCAAATAGCTGTCCTCACTCAACAAAATTTCTCTTCCCCGATCGTAAATAATGCGCAATAACACACCAACATGAAATTTTATAACCTAATTAAATTTGCTTTTTCATCGTTTATTAGCTTTTTATTACCCGGGTAGTAGGGCTTCTATTACCGTTTGACGTGGTGTTATGACATGGCTGTGGACTTCGCATTGTAGTTAACCAACCTATTGTATTTCTGAATGGATAATGAGGTGCGTTCAGCCCACTAGTTTTACTACCCATTTTCGATTCCTGAGCAGCTGATAACTTGTGGTCCGTTAAACGGAATGCGATGGAGCCATTCAGGTTAATTCATATCACCGTCAAAGCGATAGATAGATATTTGAGAAGTGACGGAAATAAACGGCAGATATCAACTTAACTAGACTGTGTGAAGTAAAAAGTACTATCATCAATTACATATGTTAGATGTCATAAGTCAATGACCAGACGTAGAGTGCTTAGTTGACATTCGGCATTTCACAAATTTAATGATAATTTTTGCGTATTGACCCTTACTATGTACTGCTTATCTCCTAAACCCATCACTTCGCTTTCATCGTTGATTCCAATAGGCCAAAATCTCGGCTACGGATTCGTAAACTACATTCACTCTAAAGACGCGGAGCGTGCGATTGAAAAGCTGAATGGATTGCAGTTGCAAAACAAGACAATCAAGGTAAATCCGTTTAGTCTGATGCTTTGTAATACATATAATGATCTGAGTCATTTACTCATTGACTTGCACCTCAACGTGAAGTGTAGTCCAGACTGAGATTACGTGTCGCATTTCATTTGCATAACGGCTAATTGAGATGCATATAAAGTGATTCACGTCCAGCGCTCCTCTGTGAATATATTCACCGGTATGGAATTCTGATGCGCTTTGGCTATATGACTGTTTGTGAACACATTGAAACGGGATCTTAAAGGCTGCATTCAACATTGACAGAAGTCTTGATTTTCATACTTTTGCACATTGAACACCTTAATGAAAATGAGTAAAAATGCCGGGCAACCAGCGGATTTTCAATCCCAGCAAATTGTTATAGTCTTCTATATTATCTTCTAGTCCCACCGGGAACAAATCACCGAATATTTTTCTCAACAAAGTTACCAGTGTAATTTGCATAAAGTCAGGCGGTGGCCGAGTGGTCTGGGCGTCTGGTTTGTAACCAAATGATCACCAGTTCGAACCCGCGTAGGGGTGGGCTTCCTCGCGGTATACTCAGCCCACACGCGACTGGTGGTAGTCGCGTGACAGCGCAGTGCCGTTTAGGCGTACAGTTATTGCTTTTTATTTGTTGTTTTTAAGTCGGATAAAAGCAGAAAATCATTTCGGAAATCACGTGTTGCTTGCCCGATAACACTGCACTGCTTTGTGAGGGATATGGCTATACTCTTAACCCCCATTAGTCAACTGTCGATATGTAGCGTTGGACACAAGTCCATTTGATTGCCTGACTCGTAAGGTAGGATTTTAAACTAAGATATTATTTGTCTAGTTGAGCGTTTTATCTTTCGACCGCCGGATCACATCGGATAGGTGGACCTGTGCTAGGTAGTCATTGACCTGTTAACATGGCTTACATGATTGTTACGAACTTGTAATAGATTGGCGAATCTTAATAAGTTGATAGCGCACACTAGGCAACAATTATTTCTGGTCAATAAACCGTGCACAGCCTGACTCGTTCCTGTTGAATCCCCACAGCTCACTTAAATGTGTTGCAGTGAATACATCAGGACGCAGTGCCTGTAGAACACCATCACTCAACCGTCTGGCTCTCTCCCTACTCGTATGTGTGCCATCCTCGGAAGCTAAGTTCATATGCTTTCCTAAGTTAGGTGGGTACAACCGGTAACCCATCAGATGAGCAAGGGGAGTTTGTTAACTGCACGGGTGTCCTTGTGTGATGCTCACATTGAATGGCTCAACGTGTCAAGATTATTCACTCCGGAGTTAATAGTAGTCCTATGCAACCCGGCTGACATGGCTCTAGTTGTTGGCATTCACGGTGGTGCACCTAGATATACCGAGTTACATAAACAACGAATGTAAGCTGAACCAATTCATCAATTTGAGTCACATTAGAACACCAAGACGCAGGTTTTTCACCCGCGACTAGGAATAATGGAACCCGCGTTAGCAGATTTCTGTTTGCGAAGGATATTACATTTACCGAAGCAGCACGGTGTACGTAGAAAACGGAGGAGTTCTTTTCTGGCATCTTGTGGTCGATCCGGAGTCCTTGTTGCACCATGAGTACATATCACCCCCAACTTCAACGTGCAGACGTTGAAATAGTTATTGGACGTTAATCAACCATAATCCGATCACCGAAACGCAATGGATCCAGTTACCATAACACGTCGAGCAGTAATGCCCGTTAGTAGTAATGATCCAGCAAGGAGGTGAATATAGCAAAATTGTCAATTGGTTGAATTCACCGTAACTTACACTGTTAGACAGCCAGCACACTGGACGACAATTCCGTCTCTCAAGAGATCGGCGGCATGCGGATTACCTTTATCCTGTAGGATAAAAATCCGCCTCATATCACATCTATTAACTAAATTGTACCGGTTAGTACCCTAGGCCTTAGCCTAATGAAGTTACATACGAACTCGTAATAGTAGGACCATGGGTTATGGCTCAAGGAAAGCCAAAAGGAATGGGCACCGCTGATCATTCTCAAGGGGATGAAACGGCAATGTAGTGCATTTTCGGATGTGGAATGGTGGTCGGAGTCAGACCAGAGATGTTGAATTCAATATATACCCTTTAAACCCCGTACTCCGAATGTTCTTTGCGGTCTACTGAATAGACACAGAGCCAAGCAACATCAGGGAAATCAATGGAAAGGTTAAATCGATGTCCCCTCATCACAATCATCATTACGCATTAACTGAAGGTGAGCAACACATTATAGCTGTTATACCGCAAGAAAAACAGAACGTATTTTTTGTTACGTTGCACACACTTTTTTCGACTTCGTCTTTTCTAATGTTTGGGTATTAAGCAACTGAAACTAAACAAGTATGCACACAGATCTACTTGTCTTGACTGCGCCCTGTATCCTGAGTTATTTCCAGCTATTGGCACCCTTCGTCCTTTAGCCCCTAACGAGGTGGGCATGTAAATCCAAAGTCAGTGAGAAATGAAGTTAATGATTTCATATACTCTAGGTAAGTTTTCGGCTGACCACCGCGCGGTCGCTTCCAGCTCGGTCCGCAACGTTCGGATAGAACGCGGCGCGGCAAACGATCAGGCGCCATGCGTACAACGTGAGCGATCCATTGCAACTAACACAGTAAAAGCAGTTTGTTGTAGTGAATACTCACATTCCCTAAGACACGATGTCTGACTTCATAGTTGCAGACACGTTGCTTCCACCACACACGAGCAATCCTCCGCGAGCACCCGATCTCGCACTCTGAAAGCCGGCGCATGTCATCCACGCGAACTGGCCATGACTCACTGCCATATAGGAACACCGCCGGAAAGGTAGCATTGTAAACACGACGTTTTAACAAGAGGCAGACATCTCGACGACACCACAAGTGTTTTAGGTTGACAAACGCCGGCCGAGCCTTGGCGATGCGGGGAGAACTTCCTTTCCGTGGGTACACTCAGCAAACACGCAGCTACCCAGAGGGAACAAAAACAACAACAGCAGTACATCAGCCATTTGAACTGATGCTTCGCTGTCATACAACCATAATGACCCATGGAATAAAGAATACTAAGAGGAAGAGAAGGGGGACTTTCCTAAAAACCTTAATGCCCTAAGCAAACATTCAGGCTCAAGGCGTCTACACCTTGTGTAGATAACATAACGTCACACATAGCTGGCTATCGTGCAAAGATAAGGCCGCATCAGCGAGAAAACTTCCTTCCAGCTTTCACTGCTCCGAGTTATAATCAGTCATTACCCCGCAGATAACTCTGTACCAAACACGCTTTAAACAGGCACTCCGATTAGGAGAAGACAGCAGACGCGCCACTAGTGTCTGTTGCGAGTAATGACCTGTAAACTCTCAAACCAAGCACAAGGCGATTCACGTGGGCTCCAGTCCGGATGGTGAGACGGACCAACTGCACCCATTTTAATCGCCAGTGACTTCATTTCCCGCTCCCAAGTTAGCTTCTGTCCCCCTCGACCCTTGCGCTATCCTACACCTGGCAGACTAAACATGGCACTCTTAGGTAAGAGATGACCAGACATACGTAACACGTGCCCGAGCCAATGCAACTTATTCAGTGCTATCTGTTGTTTTAGGGAGCTAGCATGATTATCACTACCTAGTACTCGCCTACGCATGTCATCGTTGCGGGCACGCTGGTGCCATCCGACACCAGCAATGTTTCGCAGACAACGATGATCAAAAACTTGAAGGCGCCTCAGATCTTCAGACCGAAGGTGTCAACTTTCATTACTGTAGAGCAGAACGGCCCTCACTGTGGCTTTTAAGACGAAGGGAAACACGATTCTGTCGCCAAAGATGACGCAGATTCAAGTAGACAGCTCTGGACTTTGCGATGCGTGAGCTGACGTCATTTTCTTAACCCCATCGTGCTGATGCAGCTGCCAAAATAAGTGAATTGATCAACCACCTCGAGTTCCTCGTTAGCAAGGTTCAAGAGGTCACAAATTGGCCGGTGATCCTGCAGCAACGCTTTGAAGGTGCGAAATGCATACTAAATAACGGGACCACTGTGGACAGTCCATTCAGGGTTTATTGTGCCGCCGTAACATCATCGAGAAGCAAAACGATATCGTCCGCATAAACAAGATCAATTAATCTTTCACCCGGCTGCACTCCAACGCCTACATCATGAGATCCCGCTATGGAACACTCCACGCTAGCATCCAGAGAGAAATCAAACAAAATGGGGAAATCGGACAACGCTGACAAACACCACTTGTGATTAGAAATCTATCCGATAGTCAACCGTACACCCAGACGCGGCCTGTAGTGTTCGAGTATAGAGCACGAATAATGTTCACATATTTCGTGGGAACACCTTTTCGCACAAGTATTTCGAACAGCATCGATCGATCGACAGAATCGTACGCACTCCTGAAATCAAGGAACACAGCTATTGTCGGTCTGCGGTATGCGTGGCGCTGCTCCAGCACCTGCCATAGAGTGAATATATAGACTATACAGCCACGTCCTGGGCGGAAACCGACCTGCTCTTCCCTAACCCGAGAATCCCGTTCCACAGTGAGGCGACGAACAAGTATCGTGGCCAGTAATTTTGTCACAACTGGTGTTAGGCTAATAACCCTGTGGTTAGAACAGTCTGTGCGACTACCCTTTTTGTATATTGTCACTATAATCGATTCGTTCTAATTAGCCGGGACACTCTCTTCCTTCCAGATACGTTCGGAAAGGGAGGTCAATGCTAGGCAGAGGACCGCAACTATATCCTTAAATAGTGCAGGTGGGAGGGAATCCGGGTCAGCGGCACGAAAACGATTGAAGCGTGTGATCGCGTTTCGGACCTCGGCCTCCGACGGAGGCTCTAAACTAACCGTCCATGACTCATCCTGCATCACCTGAGTAGGAAGAGGTCCGGGAGCAGGGAGCCAGCTGAACTGATCTTGAAAGTGTTCGGCCCAAAGAGCCATACGGCGCTCCTTATTGTGTATCAGTGCACCCGCTCTCTCT